TAGATTTATAGTAGATTGGGGGCGATTCATCTTTTAGCAAGAATAAATTTGTATCAAAGTGAAAATAAGGATAACTATGGCATTCATAAAACAGGAATATGGTGTAAGTAATGGATACAAAATAAACAATTGTTTCCAATTACAAAATAGACACCCTCAAAATAAACAAAATACTTAGTGTCAGGAATTAGGTGCTTGAGTCTTCATTTTCTTCATCTTCATTCTCTTCATCATCCTCCTCATCTTCATCGTCCTCTTCAATGAGCATACCATCCACCACACTCTTGACAGGGTCAGCTAGGGAGAAGTCAACATCGAGGGCGATGACTTTAACTTGTTCCAAAGCGTTATCAAAGCCTGATTTGAACATTTTAGCACAGTCATCAGATAAATCTTCAATTTGTCGGGCCTGATCCTTTATTTGAACGTTTAGATCCTCGATTTGCTGGTTACGATCACGAACCTTGTGTTCTGATTCTTCCAAAAGGACCTTATATTTTTTCTCGTTTTCTATAGCGTCATATCGTTCTCTCTCTAGTTGATGGAACTGATCCTGTAATTGGCTAAGTTCGTCTTTTCACTACAATAGAAAATGCATGTAATAACGGTTTCACATGCTTTATAATAGCGGTTAAAAACGTTATTAAATGAGACGATAATAAAAGAATAATGTTTAGATAACGGTTAACTAACCGCTATCATAAATAAGATATAATAGTGGTTAACGTGGAACCGCTATGCAAAGTTGTATCTATAATAGCGGTTGGAATGATGAACCGCTCTTAAAAATACACATATAATAGCGGTTAAAACGACAATCGCTATCTAAAATATACTTTTAATAGCGGTTAGTTCTAGAACCGCTCTCTTTTAGTATGATTAGATAGCGGTTCTAGGAACTGCTATCTAAAGTCCCAATTTAAAAAAAAATTATTTAAATTTTAAAATCCAAAATTTATTCCTAATAATTTGTACCTGATAAACCACAATTTCAGGGTATATATCAAATTAATCCAACAAAATCCAGCCAGCATACAATATATATTCATAGAATTGTAGAAAAACAATTCAAAAATTGACAAATTAAAACTAAAATTTGCATGAAACAAAATTGGAATATATACATCAAATAATTGAAATGATTAAAAAAATCCTTAAGAGTCTATGTATGGTATTAATTCTGTCATTCCAAAATGTATGATAGAAATATGCACACCATTCCTTTTGTAGCTACTCAATTCTAAGGTCCAAAAAGATAGCAAAGCGAGACTCTGAAAAATACTGCAAACATAGATAGAAAAGAATCACAAAAGTTAAATTCCAAATTAGATAAATAATAACAATACATTATTCTTTCATATAACACATAGTCATAATGAAAAAATGGTTCTTACGTTAACTGGAATAGTAGTTTGTTCATGCTGCAGTGTTTCTCCGATGAACAAAGCTATGTAATATTCACAGTCATCTGAGTTCATTACACTGTATACTTAATAAAATTTCGGCAACATTTCGTATCAGTCTCTTAGTCCACAACTTGAATTTGGTAAAATTAACCTCATTCAACCATGCACCAACTATAACAAATAACAATTTAATAAACTACCTAGATAATTATTGGCCAAGGAAAACTTTTTTTACAAACAATCCAAATTGGGACAATTTGAGTTTCAAAATAATGATCCTAAATCATTATTTAGAGACTCAAATGAGAAACTAAAGGTTCACTCAAGTTCATATATAATAATATCATTTAACAAGTATCTAAAATTACTAAAAATATCTGCAAAAACATCATACATAATCTCTAATACAAAATATTTCAGGGTCATACTAAACCATGTATATATCCTAACCAACCTATATTCTATTTCAAAACACAATTTCAAGATCACAATATAGGCAAAAATAAACAATTCAGACCAAACTAAGATATTAATCAATCCAAATACTAATTTTAAATTGTAATTTCAAATTCACACTCACCCTAACATTTAACTAACTGTATCAGAATCAAAATAGGGGTGCAAACTGTATCCAATATCACATTATTCAAATAATTATACTATAATAAATCAAATAAAAGCCTAAAAAATATATAATGTACTAACATATTGTAGACCTCCCAATAAGTGCGTCCTACAACAATAATGACGAATGGAGACTGGAACGTGACACAAATATGCTTAAATGGAGTTGTAATACCCAACTGAGTAGTGAGAGCAAGAGAATGAGAGAGATTGAAGACACAGAGGGAAATGGAAAGAACCCAGAGCAAGTGGGAGAGCACAAAGTGAGCGAGAAGGAGAGAACGTACCTGTAGTTTAATGGAAGATGCAGAGAGCGAGAAGCAGAGCGCAGAGAGCGACAAAAAATGCAGAAATAGAAAACGCGAGATTGAAAAAAAGGGGATTAGGGTTTTTAAAATTTTGACTTTAGATAGCGGTTCGCCAAATAACCGCTATCTAAACTACTCTTATTATAGCGGTTCCACGAAGTAACCGCTATCTAAAGTTATGATAGTGGTTCCACGTGTCAACCGCTCTTCAAAGGTATGACATTAGATAGCGGTTATCACACAATCATTATTATAAATTATTTTAGAAAGCGATTCTTTCTGAACCGCTATTAAAACATATTTTAGATAGCATTTTATTCTTAACCGCTATCTAATATGTATTTTTAAAAGCGATATTTGTTAACCGCTATCTAAAGTGTCGTCGCGAAAGGCACTTTCTGTTGTAGTGTTTAGAGTCTGCATTTGGACTTGAGTTTGATTAAGTTTATCTTCTACGGTCTTTTCTTTATCTTCTTTGTCTCGAGCACGCTGTTCTAGTATGACAAGCATTGTCATTGTCTTCTTTACAGCGGCTTGACTTAAACGAGTCAACTCTAAGGAAGACATATCATTTAACGTCTCATGGTTAGGGGCTAAAAATCCTCTGAGCCAGCTGTCTCCTTGGTAATTGGCTGGAGGTTGAGGATGACTAGTGGCTTCAGTCATAACCTCTCCCAATTTGATAACTGGAACTGATTGACTATCATCACGTTTTCTTTTTAAAGCCTTCTCATGCTTCAATCCTGTATTGCTTTCCTTTTTGTTACCAACTTCACTTTCTCTACCTTCTAAAGCTCGGATTCTTCGGTTAAGAGCTTTCTTGGATAAAGACATTTCAGACTACAACACAGTTTTACATAATCAAAGTAAAATGGGAAAGAAAATTTATACCTATAAAAAGTCTTAAGTCTACCGATCTGCCTTCTAAAGAAGCTGAGCGGTATCGAAAATTGTTTGTAACTCATCGAGTAAGGTGCAATTTTTGGCATCTTCGGGAGAGAGCTCGTCCAAAGCAAGGGGTATATTTGGCCACAGGGTTTGTCAGTCCAATATAGGGGAAATCCCTCTAGTAGGGTTTTATGGGTTTCAGGAGGTCGAATCTTTATAAATTTACCTTTAAAATATTTATATGATGATTGGAACAAAGATAGAAGTGTTCGACCCCCTACACTACTAATGGATGCCCAAGAGGTCTGTTTAGAAATACGAAATTCGAAGAAGTATAGGAACATAGAAATATTCGGTTCAAAACTAAAATGTTTACATAGGATGGAAAATCCTTGGATAAAAGCCCAGCTATTAGGATGGAGTTGGGCTGGGGCCACATTAAGAGTAGTCAGGACTGATTTACTAAAGTCATCAAAGGGTAAGCGAACTCCTAACTTCATAAAAAGGTATCATACATAAAAAAGAACGGATTTGGGTACGATTCTTGGTTTCTACATACAGGTTCATTAACCTCACAAACTTCTACCAGAACACTACTTTCTTCGCCAAAACGACTTAAACCTTGGATATTTCTAAATAGTTTGAGTTTCTTACCGCTAGAATAAATGGTAAACTCATTTAGGATATCAGATTTGGCCCAAGGGTACAAGGATTTATTATCCAAGCTGCTAGAGTTGGCGCTAGGAGGAGGGGAAGAAGAATGTGACATTAATAGTATGGGTAAAATGATAAAAGTTCAGAACAACAGGTTCAAAAATCACGACACAAATAGGAACGTAGAAAACGAAAACGAACGGCGAACAGAAGTACTATGCAGAACAAAGAGAGAAATGGGAAGCGATACCTAAAAAACCCGGAGTAAATTCGGAAGGTGAACGGAAGCGTGAAGGTTTGAAAGCTGCGCGAAGCGAAGAGACGAAGGGAAGAGGGAAATGAAGCGTCTTGGAAGAACAAAATACAGTAAATGAGAAAAGCGAAGTAAAAAGCGTAGGCGCGAAATTTAAAGTATAGGGTAATACGTTAGATGACATGACATATGCTTGGAAGATGAAACGTTTGGAAATTTGGGACCGAGTCAAATAACATAGGAAAGGCTTGAGGCTTGGTTAAGAAGGCAAAGGTCACAATATACATATTCAATATTCAATACTTCGGATACATCCAATTACAGTCGAGACCAATTATTCTTAAGGGAGAAGATAGGTGGGGCATTCATTTCGATTTAGTCTTTGCATTAGAATATATTTATAATACAAGACTAGGGGGTTGTGGTGCGTAAATATAGTTTGGGCCCGAGGGAGCCCAAATTCAAGTATTAGTAGTGGGCCAAATAGGTCCATAAAAGAAGACCGAGCTTACCGGGGTGGTGGTTGGGATGAGGCGGTATCTGGGCCGATAATATGGGAATCAATAAAAACAAACTAAAGGATTAATGAAAAAGGAGGATAAAAAGGGGAAGGAAAAAAAATTAACGGGGACATCTTTCTTTTATTCTAGAACAATTACATTTAATTTACCATGTACTTTCTATTAGAAATGTTCAAAAGCCATATGGTAGATATTTAATTGAGAGTTGTCCAAAAAAATATTCATTTGTATCATGGAAATGAGAATTAATGTTCAATATGCTAAAAAAACAGCGTTGTTTTTGTGCTAACAGAATGAACATTATTAGTAAACTACATTAAATCAACTTCCAAACTATAAAGCACAATTACTCAGCCCAGCTGATAAAGCTTTTCAGATTCTTTGAAGAGTGACCACCTTCTTCTATGCTCTTCAGGGTCAATTCCTTCAGTTTCAACGACCTAGCTTTTATGCCTTCATCGCCAAACAGTTGCTCCACCTTCTTCCTTATCTCTTCTTTTGATACTAATCCATTCTCATCCTTGTCTAATCTCAATCCAACCTTCCACACATCACAAATACATGACATGTTAACAAACTGATCCTTTTACTAATGGCCAACACAAGAAAGGGACGCCACTACATACACCTTCTATGCTAGAATTCCAACCACAGTGACTAATGAAGCAAGCTATGGAAGGGTGATTCAATATCTCCTTCTGTGGCGCCCACTTCACAATTCTGCCTTTACTTCCATGGAATTCATCAGAGTATGCACTGTTTACCTTGTTACCGCTAGAAGGATTCACAACCCAAAGAAACGGTTTGTTAAGGAAATCAAGTCCAAGAGCCAATTCTTTAAATTGGTTGTGATCAATTACTCCCGAACTACCAAAGGCAACATATATAACAGATTGAGGTGGCTGATGATCTAACCAGTCTAAGCAAGTTATGTCTTCTTGCCAGAGTGAACTTTTGTTGCTGTTAGTTGCCATCAAGGGACCAATAGGTAGGAACCGTGGTGATATGGAAAATGCAGCAGGCTCAAGATCATATGCTGTGTTGCAAAGCCACCAGTCTCCTAACTTAAGAGTCTGCATCTCTTGTGCAATATGATGAATGACGATCTTATCTAGGCCACACCATGGAAAGTTTTCTGGGTCCATCATTGGCATATTTGGGTAGAGTTGAATTTCTTGCCTTTTGATGGGGTTTCCTGCAAAGCATAAAAGGAAATCATAAAAGCTCTCATGTTTGTACTTACACTAGTAATTAACCTGAAAAGTAGATACGAAGATCAGCCATGGATGAATTAAAGTTATAGATAAAATTTTCTCAGACGGCTTAACTATGGCTTGGATATCCTAACTTTAATGTTTTTAGAAGTAACACTAAACAAAAATTTAGTGGCACGTTAAAAAATTGACCATTGCTTTAATCTGATATGGGTACTTGCAGTTGCATAGAAATAAAATGGTGGTGGAACAGCACATTCATGTGTCCAGAATGTGTGGCAATTTGTGGATGAAGTTTCACTCTGTTCCTTCAAACACTATTTGGTGTTAATTAGTAAGCATACTCTCAGAAATTTTGACATGGAAGTACTAGTATTTTCAAAGCAATGATTGTGCAGTTGAAAACTAATCTATTACCCATCTAGTTAACGCTATTCTAAATCTCAAATATAAAAGCACCAGCATCCTCTCAAATTACCGCACTTCCAAGCGAAACTCTTTAAAGCTGTGTTTAAAATAACTGGAAATTGACAGACAATTAAATTTACTTCTTTTCTTTGCCAAGGTGAGATAAAAGAATTTAAATTGATACTCTTTGCCAGTGTAAAAAGTAGAAGAATTTCAGATTAAGAGAGAAATTTAGAATCAGTTGATATGAGACAATGCAAAATTAAACGACGAGTATAATATGAAACAGAACGACATGAACATTGGAAATGAGTACAAGTAGTGGCCAGACAGATATTTTGGAATTGGTCAAAATGATTCAAAAACGTTCAATTTCATCTCAGAATGTAACAAGAAGTAAATTTCTGCAGTTGAAAAACTTTACCATCTGAATCTATGATTCCATCATCAATCAACTTTGGGATGCAATCGCATGTGGCCAGCGAAGTGGCAGATGCAGGCCACAAAAGAGCTCCTTTGATTCCCAATTTGTGACCAACTTCCAGGGCCCAACCCATATTCACTGTGACAACGATGCATGTGATCTTATTGTTAACATGCAATGCATTGATATCTTGTATGAGTTTGGGAAGCATAGCATGCATGTGCCTTTCGATTGAGAAAATAACTTTCTTGTGGTCCTTTCTGTCATCTTCAGGACCCAAACCATCTGGGAGTGTCACAAACCTTATCTGGGTTCCCTTGGGGTTGTCTAGCCCAGCACCTGCTACATTCGCTCGTTTGTGGTTGAACTCTGTATTCAGAAAAGTGATCTTGCAGCCATGCATGGCAAGAACCTGAGACAACTGCATAAGGGGATTCACATGTCCTACAGTTGGATATGGAATGAGGAGAAAGTGAGGGATGCCCATCTGCTTTGGAATTGGCTTTCACTGGATGAACTACTGGGAGATGAAAAGTGACTATTTCTTGATGAGGGTTGTTATTGGTTGTGGTTAAAGATGTCAAATCCTTTAGAAAATTAATAGATATACTGTATATTTTTGGTCTCAACAATTTTTTACTATTTATGAAAAATAATTAATAACACTGTTAGTATTATGATTTATGTAAAGATTAAGATTATAATAATTTTAAATCATAAATACTCTTCCCTTGCCTTTTACTTTTTCTGTTGGAAAGAAAATGAGAGGTATAAAGAAAATTTTACCTTTTTAATTTACTGAAGCACGTGGCATCTGTGAGACTGTGACTTTCAAAGAATGGAAGTGTTGGTTAATGAAGTATTGAGTTTCAAAAATTCTTAATTGTCGTTACAAGTTTGAATAACCCTTCTAATCTAATCACACTTATCCAAATCTGAGTTGTTAATGATAGTTTTCGAGGGGGAATACACGGTACGCGAGATGCTTTCAGCGTACGCGTACCTACCCTACATTAATGACTATGTCTCGTCGTTGTAAAGTCTGCCCTTCAAACTTGTTCTACTTTTGTGTATTAGCAATTTGCAGGAAAAAAAGTCATAGGCTAAAATTACATGAAAAAAAATTTAAATTTATTTGACAAAATTCATTCTCAGGAGTAAAGTTTTATGAAGGTTTAGGTATCTCAATTCAATTCGTACAATGCAGGGATGAGTCTGCCCCATTTTGATACGTGAAAAGCAGGTGAGTTGGACTGATTGTTATAGTTACCATGAGTTGTAGGTTTTAGTCCGCTCTACCAAACCATAATTTAAAAAAAAAAATTATTTTTTAAAATAATTTTTTTAATAAATTTAATAATATTATTATTTATTTATTAATAATTTTATATATATATATATATAATTTAATTTAATAATATAAATTAATACATTATTTTAAGAAATTATAATTTAGAACAATAATAAAATTTACATAATAATAAATAATAACAAATATATATATATATAAGGTTAAAACTTGTAAATTTTATATTTTTTATATTGAAAATTTTAAATACCTATATCTTTTTTTATTTGATAAAACTTCACATTATTTTTGATTGAGTAATTCTTACACCTTTAATTCAAGTCATAAGGATAAAAATAATAAATGCTTAAGATGAACAAGGAAAACAGGAGGGAGAAGGTTGTGTTTCAAGTAAGGAAAATATTTTAGGTGAGAGTGAAATTTTTTTAATTCTCTTTTTAAAAATTTTAACTTTATATATTATTTTTATAATTAATTTTATTACAATAAAAGATTGTTTTTTTATTAATTAGGCAGGGCCATGCGGCTGACCCATCCCGTCCCACGAGTTGGCCGGCGAGTTGGCGAACTTGGCGGGCAGGCAAAAGCGGGCGATGGGCTGAAAACACCAACCCATCCTGTCATATTATGGCGGGTTGGTGGGTCGACCCGCCGGACTGTCCCATTTTGTCATCCCTAGTACCATGGGATGGAGTCGAGCACGCCAAGTTTTCAATTTTTTTAATTATTTTTAATTTTGTTCAAGGTAGAAATTAAGTTTCATCTTCGATCCTCGTGGTCGAATTTAAAATTTTTCATTGCCTCTTCCTATCTATATTAATTTTAAAAAAATAATTATATTTATAATAAATTAATTTTATTATATCTTTTTTTATATATAAATAAATATTTATAATTTTATAATTTGTAATTATTATTAATTAAATATATATTTTAATTTATTATATTTATATTAAAATATGTATATAAAAGAAATATTTAATTATTTTATATATATGTATATAATATTTATAATAATAATATTATTATTATTATTATAATGTATTTAAATATTTATATTATTATTATTATATTATATTATATTTAAATATTTAATTATATATATATATATAAGTTAATTTATTTTTAAGTTGTCATTTTAATATATGAAATATATAATATATAAGGAAATATTTAATAAGTTAATTCTTATTTAATTAATTTGAAGTAATTAAAGTTTAAATTATTAATTATTTTTAATCCTTTAAAATATAATTATTTTATTAAGATAAAATTTGATATATGATAAATAAGAATAATAAGATCCAAAAAATATGATATAATAAAATTTAATAAATATAAATTATAAATAAATTAATATTATTTACTACTAAAATTTATGTAAAATATTTAAAAAAGATAAAGAAGAAAAAAAATTAACATTATATTCATCAAATTGGTTGAAAAGATTGAAAAAAAAAACAAATTGATTAGAGATTAAGGAAATGTGAAATACTGAACTGTGAGAGGAAGATAATAATGTAATAAACTAATTTATATAAAAGATTAAAAAAAACAAAAAAAATTAAAAAGTGGGTAGAAGAAAAATAAAATGGTAAAATATAAACATATGACCTTAAATGTAATAGAAAAAGAAAATGAAATACTTTTAAAATATTATTATTTTAAAATATAAATTTAAATATAAAATCGAGTGTGGGAATACTTTTTTTCATAAATAATATCATTTTAAAAAATATTTCCCAAAACAACGTCTCTACAGCATTATTTATCTATCTAGCACCATTCACTATTCACATTTGAAATTCAGTTCCAGGAAACCAAATTCTGAACTACCATTTCTAATTTTTTATTTTATTTTTTCCAACCAGAATTTGGAAAGGAATTGAATTTTGAACTGGTTTTTCTAAATTTTTTTTAGCTTTTGTTTTTGTTTTATTAATTTTATAAATATATTTCTTTATAATTTTAAATATAATTTATTTTTAAGTTTATAATTATTATTTTAATTTATGTTATATACATATAATTAATTTGAAGTTGATATATATAATTTTAATTTATGTAATATATATATATAATTATAATTTATATAATATATATAATTTATTTAACATTAAAAATAGATATATTTTTATTAATTTTATAATTATAATTTTTTAAGGTTATAATTCTAAATATATTTTTTTTAACTTTATAATTATAATTTATATAATATATATTTTATAAATAGTTATTTTTTTATTTTAATTTGAACAGTGAACAATAAATAATGTTAAATGAGTAAATAATATTGTAGAGATACTATTTTAAGAAATATTTTTTAAAATGATATTATTTATGAAAAAGAGTCGGACCGGAACGGATCTAGGATTGGGATAAAGATTGCATTACCCATTCTCACTTCCAACTTTTAACTTTTTAAAGTGATAAAAATTCGAATCCACCTCATCTCTGAACAAATGGATTTTTTTTGGGTCAAACTCAAAAATGAGAATAAATCGGTTCTCGTACTCAATATGTTAGTGCCTTGAATTGAAAATTTTGAGTTAATTGAACGGAGGTAGGAGTTTGAGTTTTTCCTCTTCTAAAAAATTGAGAATAGAGGTAACTGTAATCTCGCTCACAACTTGATTTTATATTTAAACACATATTTTAAAATATATTTTTTAAATTTTTTATTTTTTTTCTTATATTATATACCAGATTATTTATTTCTTCTATATTTTATCTTTATTACTTTTCTCTTATTCATTTTTTAAATCTTTTATTTTTTTTAATCTTTTTAATTAATCAATTTATTATAATATTTTTATTTTCTATTTTTCATCCCTTCACATTTCCTTAGAGCATCTTTAGAATTCATTTCAAGATCTTGCATTATTTTTTGTGAGTCCCTCGATACCATATAGAAAAAAATATAAATTTTTTTAATGATAGATCTCTTTTTGAGATCTTGAATGACTTTGAAAATTGGGACATATAGTTTTAACACAACTTCTTTATTATTATTTTACAGATTTTAAAAGCTTTTTACAAGAACTCGGCCTTCACAGTGCTTCCTCAAATGAAAAATCTTAAGAATAATAAATCTTATACTTAAGATTTGTGTTGAAGATCTAACAATAAAATTGATGTTAATCTATTTAATCAAAAAAATTGATTACTTTTTAAATCAATTTAATAAATATAATTTTTTTAATATTTTATATTAAATTTAATGATAACTAATATTATTTTATTTTTAGTTTATCATTATTAAACTTTATTATATCGTATTTTACAGATTTTAAAAGCTTTTTACAAGAACTCGGCCTTCACAGTGCTTCCTCAAATGAAAAATCTTAAGAATAATAAATCTTATACTTAAGATTTGTGTTGAAGATCTAACAATAAAATTGATGTTAATCTATTTAATCAAAAAAATTGATTACTTTTTAAATCAATTTAATAAATATAATTTTTTTAATATTTTATATTAAATTTAATGATAACTAATATTATTTTATTTTTAGTTTATCATTATTAAACTTTATTATATCGTATTTTACAGATTTTAAAAGCTTTTTACAAGAACTCGGCCTTCACAGTGCTTCCTCAAATGAAAAATCTTAAGAATAATAAATCTTATACTTAAGATTTGTGTTGAAGATCTAACAATAAAATTGATGTTAATCTATTTAATCAAAAAAATTGATTACTTTTTAAATCAATTTAATAAATATAATTTTTTTAATATTTTATATTAAATTTAATGATAACTAATATTATTTTATTTTTAGTTTATCATTATTAAACTTTATTATATCGTATTTTTTTAATTTTATATAAAATTTTATTTTAATAAAATAATTATCTTTTAAAATATTAAAAATTAATAATTAAATCTTTTGACTATTTTACACTAATTAAATATAAATTAATTTATTAAATATTTTTATATTTCATATTTAATAATATTTTAAAATAATAGTCTAAAAAATAATTAATGTATACATGTAATTAAATATTTAAATATAATAATAGTATATTTATATAAAGAAAAATAATTAAATATTTCTTTTATACGTATTTTAATATAAATATAATAAATTAATAAAAATAATTTATTACAATTATAATTATTTTTTAAAATAATATAAAATAGAGACGATCCTTAATGCAAAAATCTGAAATTTATTTAATTTTTAATTTCAAGGTCGGAGACACTTAAAAAAGTGGGGGAGAGAGGTTGGAAAAGCTGACCTGCCCAGTAGGTGATCATCAAATACAACAAGGAGGTTTTGATAACATGAATCCTAATTTATTTTGAAATCTCCTTTATTTGCTATTTTGTTTGTCTGTTCTCAATCTGTCATGTCAAATTTGAAGATGATGGGACATATATACTGTTCACAACCTCAGCGCATCAACTAGAACATTTTTATCCTTTGAGCCAGGCCTCAAACTTGCTGAAATTCTCATAGGATTGTCCCGCTTCTGCAGTGCTACTTACAACCATCTCCTTCAGTTTTTGAGACCTTTCCCTTATGCTGTCATCTCCAAGGAGTTGATCCACTTTCTTCTTTATCTCCCACCGTGATATCAGCCCTTTCTCATCCAAGTCAAATCCCAACCCCACCTTCCACTCATCACAAACATAAACCTTGTCAACAAATTGGTCAGCAAAATATGGCCAACACAAGAAAGGCACCCCATTGAACACTCCTTCCATGGTAGAATTCCAACCACAGTGGCTAATGAAACAAGCTGTAGAAGGGTGGTTTAACACCTTCTGTTGGGGTGCCCATGTGACAATTTTACCACAAGTGCCTTGAAATTCATCTGGGTATGTTGTTTTTGTGCTGCCACTAACATCCTCACGCACAACCCACAGAAAAGGCCTATTTGTGAGATCAAGTCCAAGAGCTAGTTCCTTGAATTGAAGAGGGTCAAAAACAGTGAAGCTCCCAAAGGCAATGTAGATGACAGAACAAGGTGGTTGTTTATTAAGCCAGTTCAAGCAAGAAAGGTCTTCTTCCCAGAATTGCCCCAGTGACCTACCCTCATCAGCACTCTCCATGAGTGGACCAATTGGTAGGATCTTTGGAGAAAAAGATAATGCCCCAGGTTCAAGTTGACTAGAGGTATTGCAAAGCCACCAATCTGTTAATTGTGAACAGTACATAAATTTTGTGACGTAATCAAATATAAGTTTGTTCTGCTCAGTTGAGTAGCCTACAAGGCACCATGGAATGTAATCTGTGTGCATAACCGGCATTCCTTGGAATAATTGAAATTTCCCTTTTGAAATTGGAAATCCTGCAGTGACAGGCAGAGTGAGAGGTAGATGAAGTATGTACGAGTTTAATGTTCCAACGTGATTCAACTAGTTTTAATATATAATAATTAAATAATATGTATAATATTATTAAATAAATATAACTTTATAATACTAAAAAATTAAATAAAATATATTATAATAATTATGCTAATTAATAAATTAGAATAATATGCATTACCAAATGAAAAAATTTACATGCAGAATAAAAATGACAAATTAATATAATATAGAATTATATGCAAGTAAAAAATTTAAAATTTTAAAACTGATATAAATGAATAAACAAAAATTTAAATTGAATAAATTAAATACAAATTAATAAAACAAAATTATAAAATACATTTTTTTATTTTAATTGAAAAAATTATATATATAAAGTATGGACTCCCCCTTTGTTTTAATCTACATTCACATCTTAGAAGATTTAGATCATTATATAGATTTTTGTTAAATATATTTGAGAAGATAAACAAAAGATTTAATATAAGATGATAAAAAAAATAGAAAATGATGAGTATAACTAAATAAAGATCTAATTGTGCCTCAGTTTTTTTAATTGATTTTCCTTTAATTTTTATTATTTGTTATTTTAATTAACCAATGATATATTTTATTTTTCAAATGCCAAATTCCAAATTTTTTATATAAATCTTTTCTATTTTTTCATTAAATATTTATATTTTAAAAATATTTAAGAGTATTTTTAAAATTATATTAAAAATCAATTACCAATTTTCATCACCTCATACACCTTTTAATTTTCTAATCATTTTTACTAAAATTAAATAACCTCAATTTTTTTTCTCCAAGTCATTTCAATTTCATTTCCAAGGGACCAATTAATGCATATAATTGAAAAAAAAAAAAAGTAAGAAAATTATTCAAGTATGTATTAGGTGGAGAACTGGAAATATAGTTCTGATAAAGAAAACTAGCACGATGAAAATTGCATTCGTCCAAAGAGTGACACGATGATTACTCTAAGTACTGGTATTTTTGAAAGTGACAAAAAAAAAATAAAACCCTTACCATCTCCATTTATGATTCCACGTTCAATGAGCTTTGAAATGTTCTCTTCCAGGACAAAAACAGCTGCTGAATGAGGGCTGAAGACAGCACCTTTGATTCCAAGCTTATCTGCAACTTCCAAAGCCCATGCCATGCTCAGATCAACAACTATGACAGTGGTTTTCTCACTACCACCATCAACATCATGGTCAAGTGCATTCATGTTATCCTTTATCACCTTCTCAAGGGCAGAAGGCATTGTTCTTAAGATTGCCGTGATCAAACTAGCCAAGTCATTTCTGTCATCCTCAGGACCTAAACCATCTGGGATTGAGATTAGTCTCACTGCTGAGCCCTCAAGGTCAACCTCCTCATTTGTTGCACTCACCACTCTCTTGTGGTTGAAATCTGTGTTCACGAAGGTGACTTTGAAGCCATGTTGAGCTAGTTTTTTTGAGAAGCGCATGAGAGGATTTACATGCCCTTGAGCAGGAAGTGGCAAAACCAGCACGTGTTGGATGCCCATTTCTTGGTATGTGGATTCGAGAAGAAAGAAAATCAATGAGTACTGGTTGTGGTTGAAGTGATGAAGAAAGCCAGTGCTGGCTATCATCAACTGCTGATATTTATATACAATCTTGTCATAAATACCATGTCAAGATAAAAATAGATTCTTTAATATATTTTTTACGTTCAGAATAACCTTTCAAGTGTAAATATAAAATTTATCACAGTAATTACTATAATATAATGACTTAATCATACGTACATCTAACCACTATACTTTTATTCCTTTAATTTGTTTATTATATCATCGATTTGGTCTCTTAATTTTTTAAAAATTTAGCCTTAGTTTTTTAAGTCTTTGAAATGTTTTACTTTGATCCTTTCGGAATTAATTGAAAAATATTAGAAGTGTCTGATATGATTGTTAATGTTACATTTATACATTTAATTTGTTCAATAATTTTTATATTGGTTAAAAAAAAATCATTATTGGAGATAAAAAAAGTTACCGTTTGTTTGTTGGGTTTTTCGATTTGAAGAAACATCGATTGCCAACGGGTTTAACACATTAAACAATTAACCACTCTTTTATTGATCTAATAGAATAATAATATTTATTATTTTATTAATTTTTCTACTGTGACATAAAATCAACCCTTTAAAAAAAATGCTAAAAAAATATTATTATTATTATTATTATTATTATTATTATTATTATTTTAGAGATTATTATAATTTCTTTCAATAACATTTTTTTATTATCTGATTTTTTATCTTCTATTTTATGTATGAGTTTATATGTAGATATTTTTAAAGAAGCTAATAATGGAAAGATTCTTTTAAAGTAAACCAGAGAATATAACAGGTGGAATCTTTCTCACAAAAAGCATGTCAAGTTAAACCCATCCACTTGCATCAATCACCGCTACTCCAACCCCTTTCCAAAAGAAAAAAAAATCAACAATCCGCCAAAAGAAACTTTGGTTTTATACAGGAAAAGTTTCATCATTTAACATCTTACCATAAAATGTTTGCAACTTCAAAACCTCCTCCTTATGTTAGCAATTGTTCCAATTCAAAAAATTGTATTATATCTATAGTATGAAAGAGGAACTCATTTGCTTCCACTGCTAATGAATTATTCTTGTAAATTGGTGGTTCTAGAAGAATTTGTCCTATATTTGGATCTATGCCATTAGAAGATAATAGAAGTCAATAAGTAATAACATATACCCTAATTTGTGAATTTGAAGGAGAAGATTCCTTTTTAACCCATCTTAACAATAAAAATTATTTTTCATCTAAAAAAATTATATTTTATTTATTTAAAATTATATTTGTTAATTAATGTTGTAGAGATAAATAATTGGGAATTCTTGAGTATTAGATTTTTGCCCTTACTACTTCTATTCGTTGTTCTTTAAGCCTATACTTGATTAGGTACAGAATGCAGAAGAAAGAAAAATAAACAAATGAAAAATAAAAACATAAGAATTTGGTTGGTTTGTTAGAAGTATGGGTAGAGATGAAAATAGGGATTGGTCACCATTTTTGTCCTGTTTGTCCGTGTTTGACATGACAAGATAGGATGAGATATAGGGTTGGTCGCACTTGTGGATTCATTTTTTTTTATGTTTTTTTAAATTATTTTTCCTCTTTTATTATTATCTCGTATGTATTCAATCAATCTATATCAATTTTGTTTTAAAAATAAATATCCGAATTTTAAAATGTTTGTAAAATGTAAATGAAAACGAAAATCTATTTTAATTTTATATAGTCTTTTTTTAATACAAAAATATTATATAGAATTCTAATTCTATTTTTTTAATATCCAATATCTAATCAAACTATATTTTTATCTATATATTTACATATATAATAATTAAAAAAACATATCTATTAATTAATGCAATGTTTATTATATTTTTAATTCATAAATTTTAATATAAAATATAATAATAATAATAATAATAATTTATAGAAAAAAATTTAATTATTGTTATTTTAAATTAAATATTTCATTTTTTAATTGATGACTTTAATATTTAATTTTATAATTTATCTATATATTTTTTTAGTATTTAGTTTAAATAATTAAATATGACATTTATATATATTGTATAATCCTTACTAATCATAATTAATTTTAAATTAAATTAAAAAAATAATTGAAATAAAAATTTATCATTAAAAATAATATAAAATTACTCAATAATGATATATTAAATAAATTTAAATATTAAAAAATTAAAAATAAAAATAAATTAAATAATATAAAAATTTATAAATAATCTATTAATTTAAATATTAAAAAATTTATAAATTATACAAATCAACTGTTCATATTAACCAAAACAGAATATAGACTACAAGAGTGAATCTAAAATAATTAGACTAAAAAAATTGTAATTTATTTAAGATAATAAAATAGGTTATAGTTGATATAGATGGACTAATTTATTTCAAAATAATTTATTTTGATTCATCTTATCTAATAGTCAACTTGATGGACTATCTTATCTAATAGTCAACCTCATGGACTATAGATTATACATAAAATAAAACTTACTCGATTATCCATTTTTAGAAAATATTTATACATTAAAATAAAAAATATTATATTATTAAATATTTAAATATATTATAATATTTTAATTTTATTTATAAATGGTAACTAGTATTTATAATTATTATTGTAAAAGTGAAACTTGTCTCATATTTTTCTAGGCATGGTAAAACAGGTCGGTCCAGGCGTGCCGGTTAGCTCATCGTAATATATATGCTTGGGGTGGGTTGGTATTTTCAGCCCATCAATCTACTTTTGCCCGTTCCGCTAAGCCCGCCAACCTGCCGGACCATCTCGTGGGACGGGCGGGCCAATCCTTCTAATTAATAAATTTTTTTTTGTAATAAAATTAATTATAAAAATAATATATAAAATTAAAATTTATAAAAGAAAATTAAAAAAGTTTCACTATCAAAAAAAATATTCAATTTTTTTTTCGCGTGTAGCATTAGTTTAATATAAAATTTCATATATAGCACACTGTAGTTATTATTTACAGGAGTAGCACAGTTTTTCAAAAAGTTAAACATTTTAAATAAAAAATAGTAATTATTAAAAATTTTATGTTTTAAATCCATTAATATATATATATATATATTAAAATGTTATTTATATAATTATATTATTAATATATTTTTATAAATATAATAAATACAAATATATTTAATATATATATATATATAATATTTAAATATTTATTTATATAATTATATCAAATTAATATAAATATTCTTTTTACCTATCATAAAAATATATTTATATAATTATATATTTAATATATTTTTATAAATATAGTAAATACAAATATATTTAATATATATATATATATATAATATTTAAATTTTATTTAATATAAATTAGTTGGTCAACATATCAAGGCCCACAACTTTACCCCAACCCAACAATAAGAAGAAGTTCTAAGGGTCGTACAAAGTCAACATGAATTAGGACTGAAATGGATATCTGCGAAAAAGGTCACCCAAAGAAATGTTCCTATCGTCACACTCCATGTCACACAAGAAATCATTGTCCAAATAACCCTCGCCTTAAGGGATCAACTTCTCATAGATAAATCTACTGTAGTTTTCTAATATGACATTATAATTATTAATAAATAATTATTCTACTCATTTGTGATTTTCTAACTTGTTTATTCATGTATAGTTGTTTATTTATATTTCATTGATTTAATATCTAAAATATCAATTCACTTTAATTCAAATAGTATATCTTACTCAAATTATCTAATTAAAATTTTTATTTATATAGAATTTTAACAAAATATTTATACAAACATATTAAAATATAATAAAAATATTTATATATTTTTATAAAAGAAATATTATTTATACTTAATTAATATATATATATATATATATATATATATATAATTTATTTATGTTATTATGTATATAGAAAGATATAAATATATATTTATTAAATATATAAATATACATGTATTTATTATATTTATAAAAAGATAAATAAATATTTAAATATATATATATATATATTAAATATATTTATATTTATTATATTTATAAAAATATATTAATAATATAATTCCTATAAATTATTATTTTTATTAATATTTTTCTTCAACTAATTTATATTAAATAAAATTTAAATATTATATATATATATATATTAAATATATTTGTATTTACTATATTTATAAAAATATATTAAACATATAATTATATAAATATATTTTTATGATAGGTAAAAAGAATATTTATATTAATTTGATATAATTATATAAATAAATATTTAAATATTATATATATATTAAATATATTTGTATTTATTATATTTATAAATATATATATATATATATATATATATATATATATTTTTAATGAATTTAAAAATAAAATTACTAACAATTACTATTTTTTATTTAAAATGTTTGACTTTTTGAAAAACTGTGCTACTCCTGTAAATAATATCTACAGTCTGCTATATATGAAATTTTATATTAAAATAATGCTACAGGCTGAAAAAAAAATCGAAAATATTCTCTTTACTAAAACACAACATTTTCTCTGTTGTTCTCTTTGTTCATCCTAAATACCTGGTTATTTTTATCCTTATGAAAAGTATAAAAATTACTCAACCAAAAATAATGTGAAATTTTATCAAATAAAAAGATATAAGTATTTGAATTTTTCAATATAAAAAATATAAATTTTATAAATTGTAACGTTATTTATATATATATATATATTTATTATTATCTAAATTTTATTATTGTTCTAAATTATAATTTCTTAGAATAATATACTGATTTATATTATTAAATCGAAATAATATATATATTGAATTATTAATAAATAAATAATAATTTTATTATTAAATTTATTAAAAAAAAATTATTTTAAAAAATAAATTATTCTTTTTTAAATGATGGTGGATGAGTTCGTAAGCCCGCGAACTCGTCCTCTAATGGGACGGAGTAAGCCAAAATATACAACCAGTTATAATTATAACATGCTAACTTGCCCCACCTTTAAGCCTAAGACGGGATGCCAGACCAGATAGTGCGCCTCCAATCTTCGAAAAGGAAAAGAACGCGAAGAGGAATTGTGGAAAGGCCAGTAGATGTCTTGTGCCCTTTTAGGGAGAAATTCTTCAAAGTCCGATCTGGATAAGCTAACTCTTCTTTTTGAGCTAGGACCAACCGCTATCAGCTGCAAACCCTGCTCTTGACTTCTCCTTTTTAAGAATAAGAATAAGAAAAGGTGTTATGGATCTTGTGCTAAGATTGATTGCTGATTTTGCCATTCCTATATTTTTTTTACGAGGGATTCCCGTCCTGCCTAAAGAATGGACAGGGACAATCAATGTGTGGACCCAATACATCAAACTTCTGAGTGGAGTGAGAAAGAAAAGGAAACTTGACGTGTTAAAATTGTAACTATAAAACCCTCCAAATTCCTATCAATTCAAAGCTGACTTTTACATCTTGGTTCAAATATTTGAATTTTATTGTTATTGGTCAAAATTTAAAAGAAGTATTAAAAGGTTAAATTGTATTGGATTACACAATTTTAAATAGCAGAATTGTGTAACATAAAATGATTTTGATAAAAAAATTAAAATCATATATTTTCAATAATGATTTTTTTTTATAAAGCCAAAGTAGTATTATGTAATATTAATTATATTCATACGTGACGTAGTATGTTTTGTTTTTTTTTTAATAATTAAATTAATTTAGTTAAATAAATATATTATTTAAAAATTAATAATTTATTTATATTATAAAATATTATATTATATTATTTATTTTATTTATATCAATTATTATTTCTTATAAATTTTATAAAATATAGAAATAGAAAAATATTTTAAATAAAAAATAAATATACTAATAATTTTATTTTTAAATTTAAATTATGTTAATAATAACTAATTTTAATTATTAGATTAAAAAAAGAATGAACAGTCAATACAAAATCAGTACCATTGTTTTTACATGCAATTCAATTAAAGTCACAATATATTCGAAAATATATTAATCTTTCCAAGACATGTGATTATTGGTTCTTCTATACTACTGTGACAATAAGAAGTAAATGCTTGTTCAATCCAGGGAATAATATATTATTGTTCAAACTAAGCATGATTACTTAGCCCAATCCATAAAGAAGTTGAGATTCTTTGATGACTGTCCACCTTCTTGTATGTTATTCAGGGTCAGCTCCTTCAATTTCAAAGACCTTGCTTTAATGTCTTCATCAACAAGAAGTTGATCCACCTTCTTCCTTATCTCTCCCCTTGAAATTATTTCAGTTTCATCCTTGTCTAGTCCTAGTCCAATCTTCCACACATCACAAATATAAGATTTGTTAAGAAATTGGTCAGTGGTACATGGCCAACACAAGAAAGGTACACCAGCACATATACCCTCTAGGGTAGAATTCCAACCACAGTGACTAATGAAGCAAGCCAATGAAGGGTGGTTCAATATCTTCTTCTGTGGTGCCCAACCAACTCTTTTACCTTTACTTCCATGAAAATCACGAGGGTATGAATTGACATTTTCCTTGTCGTCATTAGCTGGACGCACAACCCAAATAAAAGGCCTGTGAAGGAGATCAAGTCCGAGAGCTAATTCTTTAAATTGGTGGGGGTCCATTACTGCCAAACTGCCAAAGGAAACATACACAACAGACTGAGGTGGTTGCTGATCTAACCACTCCAAACAACCTGTGTCTTCTTCCCAAAATGAACTTCTGTTGCTGTTTTCCATCAATGGGCCAATGGGTAGGAACTTTGGTGATATTGAAAATGCTCCTGGCTCAAGACCATAACTAGTGTTGCAAAGCCACCACTCTCCTAACTTCAAAGTTTGCATCTCTTGCACAAGATGTTCGAAGAAGATCTTCTTAAAGCCACGCCAAGGAAAGTAAGATGTGTCCATCATAGGCATATTTGGAGAGAGTTGAATTTCTTGATTTTTGGTGGGAACTCCTGTAATGCCAAAGGGAAATCATAAGAACTCTGCTGTTTTTACTTGCACTTTTAATATTAAACTAACTTAAATGTTCAATTCGTTGATTTGATTATAGATCTTTGATATTACTCAGAATAACCAGCATATCTCTGCAATAAGCAGCATATCTGATAGTTTTTGAAAGTTAACTAAAAATACGGAACATTTCTTTGTTTTTTTCCCATTATGAAGTAAATTAAGTTGACCCTTTTGGATAACATAAAATAGGTATAGGAAGAATCAATTTACATAAGCAAGTACGAAATTTGCAATGTACATCCGAATTAATGATCAGTGCATTTGATTTTTAAGTATCTCTAATATTTTGAACAGTGTGATGATCACTTTTAGGCGAGCTTAATTTAGATATATAAAGACATGTTAAATGAAGCAAGATCAGGTAGCAAAACAAATATAAAATGAAATGGTATGGTGTGTTGTGGTGTTCCGTGGCAGGGAACAAAATCAAATAAAATTATCATATCACCAATCAGGTTCCTTCATTTATTCACTATTTAGCTAATTGATGTGACAAATTGAGATTACAGCGAGTAAAAATGATATTATTAACATGAAGCACAATATTTAGGCCACATAACCTAAAAATAATGTTCTAAGTGTAATTGCTTAATTATCTCCCTGATATACTATCTAGGTTACAGTAACCTAAAAAAGATGTTCTAACTGTAATGGCTTAGTAATTATTATTTTCATGTTAACAGTAGACAAAGAAAGAAATATGTTTTTCTATTAAAGCAATGAAGATTTTATGATTGAGAAACAAGAGAGTAAATGATGGAAAAGGTTGGGAGATTCATTTAGCTCAATTAAGTCTTAGAAGTTACAATTACAATACATAATTAAAAATAGAATTTTTTCCAAAAAAGGAATATTTACCTTGAGAATCAATAATGCCATCTTCAATGAGCTTCGGGATGCAGGCAGCAGAAGCTAAGGAAGTTGCAGATGCCGGAAAGAGAAGAGCCCCTTTGATTCCCAGTTTGTGGGCAACTTCCAAAGCCCAACCCATGTTTATTGTAACAATTATACATGTTATCTTATTCTCAACATCTGAGGCATTAATATCATGTATGAGCTTTGGAAGCAAAGCAGGCATGGTGCTTTTCATTGAAAAGAGAAGTTTGGCCACATCGCTTCTGTCATCCTGAGGGTCCAACCCATCAGGGAGAGTCACCAACTCGACTTGTGCCTCCTCCATGTTGTCACCACCTGCAGTATTGGCTCGTTTGTAGCTGAACTCTGTGTGCACAAAAGTGACCTTGCAACCATGTTTGGCCAACAGAAGAGAACATTGCATGAGGGGATTCACGTGTCCTTGAATTGGAAATGGTATACAAAGAAAGTGAGGGATACCCATCTCGGTGAATTAACTTTTGAAGGGCAACAATAGAACAATTGGAAGACTTGAATCAAGTGTGAGTGGAATGTTTGTTGTTTTTTTTTTTTTATGATTTATGTTGTCTTATATAATGGTCATGGTTAATAAAATACAATCAATGGTCATGGTTAATCAAATGCACGCACGCAACGCAACTGAGGTTCTCGTTCAAGTCAAAGTTGGTGGGTTTGATGAGATATGTTCAACTGCTTTTCGGAAGTAGAATAATCTTCTACAACGTTTCCATCCAAAAACGAGGAACGGGAGAAAATAGAGTAAAGTGCCCACTGGCGATATTCTTGGGATTTGAGGGTCAAAACTTGGGAGTTGAGGGCTTTTGACCCTCCTAATTTATTACCAAGAGAGTTAAAAATAATAATGTTGAAAATAAATTTATATAAATTATGTAACTCCAAAAAAAATATTATATTACTATATATCTTAATATAATGAGTGGTGGTAACTTCATGAGTTCATCCCGCAAGCACTGGTAGACCTACATAGACAGGCCGAACCAGTCCTGGAAATTGAAGGGGCCAGCCCTAGAAATTAAGGGATCGAAGCAAAATAAAATATTTTTTATTTTAATATAATTAAATAAAAACTATATTAAATATATATATATATATATAAAATATTTATAAATTAAGTTTTAAAATGAAGTCATTATATATACTTTTATGAAAATAAAAAAAAATCAACTAAATTTAAGATCCATGTGCAGAAGAATACAAGTCAAGGACTCTACGTCATAGCTGGCGTTTCTCTACATAATAATTTTAAATAGTTTTCATAATTTTAAAATTCTTTGTGGTACAGATTAGAGAATGCACATTATTTACTAATCAACGAGGGACACTCGTCGTAATGGTCATGAGTAATAAAAAATTGTCTTCATCCAAATTCAGAGACCAACGGCAAGGTTTATTCTTTGTAAGAACAAAACGTCAACAATGTGGTAATTATGGATATAAAAAAATTGAAGTATATTAGAAAAATAATATTCTCGAATATATTTTATTTTTGAGAAACTTGGCTCATTTGTTTGTACAGTTTTTATTTCTTTAGATATAAGAGAATGAGTAAGAAAAATATGGAGTATTTAAACTTTTTAATATTTAAATTAATAGTCTTGACAATATTAAATAATAAAAAATTATTATATATTTTAAGTTTTTAAATGAATTAATTATTTATTATTTTATGAAATTCTTTTTAATTAAGTCATGGAGAGTGATCTAGTTCATGGCTGGCGTTTCTACGTATCTTTTTATAATTGTAAATTTTTTAAACTTTACCTAAGTTTGTTTTGTAAGAAAAAAAAACTAATTAGTTTTAAAATGCTTGTACGAGAATAATAGATGTAAGTAATGGTCTTAAAACACAACACTCTCTGCCCAGGAGAAATTTGGTGTGAACAACAATGGTGTTATTATTCAAAGTTGGAAAAAATGTCGCCATCCTATCAACATAAAAACAAAATATGTCCTCATCCAAAGACCAAATTATCATTCCTAAGACCGAAACATCATTTAAGTTTTTAGAATTTCATAAACAAAAGAAAACTTATATAAGATTTTTATTTTTTTAGAATTTCATTTAAGCTTTAAAGTTTATCTTCTTTTTATTTCAAACCAATTTAAAAGAAAAAGAAAATTTTGAAAAAAGAGTAAGTAGGGGCAATGGGTGGGAGGCACATACATATCCACTATCAGCTAAAAAAGGAAAAAAAAAAAAAAAACCTCGTCAGTTATCCGTCCGTTAGATACCGGTTTAAAAATTATTACTAGTAGATATTTTTTATTTTAAATATTATTATTTTTTAATATTTCTATATTAAAAAAATATAATTTCAATAAAATTAAATTATAAATATTAGCATAAAAAAATTAATCTCTATAAAATATTAATTATAATAAATTATATAAAAAATAAATTTCAAATAAAAATATAAATTTATAAATTTATAAATTTCAAATAAAAATAAAAATATATAAATTTTTATTTTAAATAATTAATATTTTTATTATTATTAACTTTATTAACGAATTTATACATTGATATCATGATACTCCTATTCGTATCATTAATAAATAAAGATTAAAATATTTGTATCTATTATCTATAAATATCCATTTAATATATTTATTTAATATACGTGATAAATTTTACCTACTAAGATACATTTTTTTTTATCATTTCTAATCTGTATATTTAAATTTGAAAATGTCTTTTTAGAAAATGTCTAAATCGGGCATTTGTTGAAAATGTCTTTTTAACACTTCAATTTGAAAGTAGCCTAAATCCGAAAAAATTTAGAAAAAAGATGGATGAGAAATAAATACAAATATTGTACTCAAGTTATGCAAATCGGGTATTATATATTACAATTTTTTTTATTGGATTACAAAATAATTGACTTACAAAAAGTATGATATATTTGTAAAAATAATAGTGTGAGATTTTATGTCGAGACTTCATTTGGACCGATATAAAAACATTTTTTATGTTGGGCGTGTTTCTATTTGATGTAAAAAGTTATTTTTATATCAATCCAATGAAGGTCCAACATAAAAGTTACTTTTTATTTTATTCAAGACTTCTTCTTTTTCTTACACCCGAGAGTTTTTTAGTAGACAATGGTTACAACGACTACTACAACACCTCTAAGGATGTTTTTCGAACATGGTAAACAACGACAATACCTACATTGTGACTCATTTGTGGTGGTTGACATTTCTTTCTGATTAAATTTGACTTTTAAGATTTTTGTGTATCTTTGATGTTAGTGTTCAATGTCTCTAGTTTTATATTAAAATTTAACTTATGATTGTTTTTTGGGATCTCAATCATGATATTACATGAATATCTCAACTGCATTATTGTTGAAATTGAACTATTATTATTTGTGATTGTTTGTATATTCGTTTGAGTCCACATACTATTTATTACACTACATTGTTATGTTTTCACGATTTATTTATTTGAGTCTCACATTTTTTGTTGTATGTATATTATTTGTATATTAAATGAATGTCCATCGTATTAATGAAGAGTATGAAAAAAAAGTTGAAGAGTTTCTTCAATTTGTTCGTGAAAATGAAAAATCTATCAAAGGAGCATATTATTATCTATGCATTTATTGTTTGAATCAAATTCGTTACGAACTTTGGAATATACATGATCACTTGTTTGCGTATGATATTTTTAAGAGTTATACAATATGGACAAGGCATAGAGAAATATTAGACACCTCAACTATGTCAACAACAGAAAATTTTGAAGAAATGATAGATGATAATTTATAGGAGATGATATGTGATATTGATGAAGAAAATTTAAAAAAAGCACATGTATAGAATTCTTTGAAGTATGATTTTAAGCAACAATTGTATATATGATGCAATTTTACAAGATTATTAGCAACTTTAACATTATTTAGTGTAAAAAAAATATTGATGGTTTGATAAAATTTTTACCAAATTATTGAAATTGTTGAAAGAGATGCTTCCAGAAGATAACACATTACCTACTTGTAACTATGAGGCGAAAAGAAGATACATGCATGTCCAAATGATTACATATTGTACAAAAATGATTTTTGCCTACATTAAAGGTGTGTTTAACATGTGGGTTGTCGCATTCAGAAAGAAAGTTGATGGAAGTAGTAGTGAGAAAGAAATAGATGTTCCCCTGCTTAGATGTTATAGTATTTGCCAATAATACCTAGGTTTAAAATATTGTTTGTCATAAAAGAAAATGCAAAAAACTTGACATGACATACGAATGGTAGAAAATTTGACAATTTTCTTTCACATCCAATTGATTCTCTACAATAGAAGAGGATTGATAAAACATTTCCAAAATTTGGTGTGGAGTTAAACTTGAGAATTGAATTAGATACAAATGACATGAATCCTTATGGGAACTTAACCAGTAAACATAATTCATTGCTAGTTTTATTGATCATTTGCAATTTGTCTCTTTGGTTATGCATGAAAAGAAAATATATTATGTTATCTACGATAATTTCATGACCTTGATAACCAGAAAATGACATAGATGTATATCTTAGTTCTTTGATCGATGATTTGAAGATGTGAAAAATAAAAGTGGAGGTCTTTGATGCATATAGTGAAGACAATTCTAGGTTTCGTATAATGTTATTTTGCACAATAAATTATTTTTTCAACATATAGTAATTTGAGCGGTTATAATATGAAGGGTCATTATGCTACCATTTATGTGAAAAAGATACAAGTTATATCCAATTAAAACATGGACAAAAGACTGTGTACAATAGGCATCACAAGTTTCTAATTTGTAATCATTCATATCTAAAAATGAAGAAAGCATTTTATGGATGTCAAGAGGATGAAGTTGCATTGGCACCACATAATGGTGAACAAGTATATGAGTAGGTGAAAAACATTAATATTGTATTCGAAAAGACGTAAAAGAGGTCAACTAAGAAAAAGATTTGGAAGAAACGATCCATATTCTTCAATCTTCCTTATTGGTGCAAGATGGATATTAGACATTATATAGATATGATGCATGTGAAAAAAAATGTTTGTGATAGTGTAATTGGAACATTGCTCAACATAAAAAGAGAGACAAAAGATGGAGTGAAAGCACGACAAGATTTGACAGACATGGGTATATGTTCCTGGTTGAAGGGATTGATAATGGGTCGTGTTACTAGGGAGAAGATACAAATTGATGTGGATTTACATTCTAGTAAGGCGTCGGGACAAATGGTGCTATGCTTAGAAGTTGTTTGAGACTCCTAGCTCGACATCATGTTTCTATTACTATTTCATCTTGGGATGATGTTGAGGAGACTAAGAACCTCATGTGGAAGGATATTCAAGTATTTCCATATTTGTTGAGCATTTCATATATTAATAATTAAATTTAATATTTATTGGTAATTTGACAGTAGAATTTTGACATTCCTAATACCAAAGTGATGATGA